TAAAAAGTGCTGCAAATTGGAAAAAGGAAAAGATTTTCACATAGAAAATCCCAGGGTAGCTCAGCTTCCCTGAAAGCCACTGAAGAATGCATTAAAGTAAGACAGACTAATTTTTAGTGCCCGCTGTAATCAAACTAAAATTGGCTATCATTACAACTATTACGCTAGCAAGGCGTTTAAATTTTTTTTAAATAAACATACAGAAAGTAGAAAATAAAACCGCCTAAACAATAAGCAACCGGAAGACATCTAAAAAAGTTACTAAACACATGTACATGTAAATATATATATATATATATATATATATATATATATATATAGGCAATTCCACACCACGTCGCACGCGTTTGCCTTTCGAACTCTCAGATTTTTTTCATTTTTTGCCCACTTGTAGCACTTGGTACAGGATTTCTTACCTCAAAAAATGCGCTGGTGGCGAAGTTAGATCGTTCTGAAGTGCGAAAAAAAATACGATTTACCCTTAACACGGTCACATTTAGGAACTTGTATTTTTCTCCATTCACAACAGAATTTCCTGATTTTTACTTCTTTCGAAAATTTCCCTCCTGCATATTCAGAAAAATAATAAACGCATATATTAGCAGATTTTATTTTGAAGCAAAATAAAAACAAAAATTCAGAATAATTTTTATTAAAAACGGATATTTTTAATTTTTCAAAAAAGACATATTTTTAAAAGACATATTTTCTACATAAAATATGAAGATCACAAGGTGGTATCTTTTCGGCATCAAGAGTTACGATGTGGTTAGTGATACTGGAAAAAACCCTTAACTAGAGCAGCATCTTGGCGCTTTCGCAAGTCTCAGAGCCTCTATTTCAACCAAAATTTTATTTGTTTTTGTAGTATATATTATTCTTGAAAAAACTTTTCAACTCTAATACTCCCGCGACAGACAATTAGTTAAAACTCATTTACTTTTAAACAATTTCACAAAAATTTATTGTGAAAAATTTACTATTATGATTACTTTCGGTTTCTATCGCTCTGCTCGCTTATTGAACCCTTCCAACTCATATGCATCACGCTCAATACTGTTATTTGACCGCGAGTACTGTTTTGCTACTTTTCTTAGCGTTTTCTAGTAAAATGCAGCGCAATTTTTATACGTTCCACCGTTAAATGTACGCAAAAACGCGGTGCTGGAAGTGCTCCTTGCTTTCCATATTCTTGTTAGAGTAATGGAATCAAATCACTAGTATTTCTTCCCTTCAGTTCGGAGCTTATTTGTAAAAGTTATTCTAAGTTAGGAATTAGACTGAAAATGTCTCTTTCATGCCGCCAAACGTTGCTGATGTTCTCAATATGCCTTCAAGTTTCAAATAATGCACTGCTGCAACAACAGAGGAAAAACAATACTCGCAATGATTTCGCAAGAATACTTTACTTTCACAAGAATATGAAAGACAAGGAAAACTTCAAGCACCGCGTTTTCAAGTATATTCAACGGTGAGACGTATAAAAATTGCACCGCATTTTACTAGAAAATGCTGAGAAGAAAAGTAGCAAAACAGTACTGAGCGTGATGTATGTGAGTTGAAAGGGTTCAATAAGCAAGCAGAGCGATAGAAACCGAAAGTAATCGTAACAGTAAATTTTCCATAAAAATTTTTGTGAAATATTTTAAAAGTCAATAAATTTTGACTAACTGTCTGTTGCGGGAGTATTAGAGTTGAAAAGTTTTTTCAAGAATAATA